TCTGTTTCAGGTTAGTGGACATCATTCAGTAAACTGTCCCGTCGGGAAATATGTCGCTACGTCACACAGTGGAGTCTCTCTGATTGGTTGATGATGGAAATATGTCGCTACGTCACACAGTGGAGTCTCTCTGTTTGGTTGATGCGGCACGTCGAGCTGCAAAAGTTCAGATTTTCTAACTTCAGCGATTTGCGCTTCAGCGCGTCGAACGCTCAGATCGTTCAAATCGCGCTGCTCTAATCATTTCTAAGCATTTCCTGACGCTGATTGAAGCGCGTCCACCATAGACTTTGCATGTAAACCTGATGCTCCTGATGCTGAAATCACGTTTGGTGTGAACGCACCATTACAGCTTTAAGCTACCATTCTGCTTTTCCAGCATTTAATTAGCCCTTTGCTCAATTTAGAAAACTATTATACAACATATTATTATAAAACTACAATATTTAGCTCTTAGCTTTCCTTTTGCTGCTTTTAGCTAGCCTTGTGCTACATTTAACTTTTAACTAACATTTCGCTGTAAGCCCACCATCAGCTTTCAGTTAGGCTTTTGCTCCTTTTAGCAAGCTATTTTCTTACATTTAGTTCCTTTTGCTACTTTCAGCTAACCTCATTTCAGCACGCTTATTACAACTGTTAGCTGTCATTTTGCTGTTTTAGGTTTTAGTCAGCCTTTTCACTCCTTTTAGCTAACTATTTTCCAACAAGCTTTCCATTTGATGCTTTTAGCTTTCGCTACATTTAGTTTTTAACTAGCATTTAACTACTTTAAGCCACCATTCTGGTCCTTTCAGATTTTAAACAGCCTTTTTGCTATCCTTAGCTAGTGTTTTACTTTTTAAAATTTATTTCCTTAAGCGCTCTGTGTTTAAACTGAACTTACACATGTCATTTTTTTCTACTTTACATTCCCAGTCCATGTGATTGTAAACCTCTTTGCTGTATCTTAGAAAGTGCGACTGGCTTTGAGACAAACCGCTAAAACTGAGCTGCGATGCTCCTCTTCACTGCCAACGGATGAAATAAACATAATCAGCTCCCCTTTTTCTCCACTCGCTCTGTTTTCTAAGAACTCATTTCCCCCTCAGAACAGAGTCCCTTCTCCTCGCTGCGTCAGAGCAGAGGCAGTGGGTGAGTGGGTGCAGGTGGCTGTTTTGGAAATGCAGTTGCATGGAAACCCCCCCAGCAGACACACAGTCTGGAGTTGTACAGTAACAGTGTGTTCTGGGTGGCTGAAGAGAGAGAGAGAGAGAAATGGCTGGAAATGAGTCTCTTAGTAACGCGAGGGAGCAGAGAACCAAAAACCGAGAACAGGCTGCAAGTTAGGAGCAGAAAGACCTGCAGCCCCTCACCCCTAAAGCTGTGCTGAGGGATAAAACACAGGCTTCTGTTTATTTAAAGCATCTCGGTGAACTTTTATCGTAAAGATGATAACTAATAGTCATGGCTTTTCAGTTCTAACAGGGTTTCTTTCAGAGTGTAAACCCTGAGTGGAGCGTTAGACAGGTGGGCTGTCGTGTAATGATGTTTGAGTCATGTTGGACGTTCACAGGCAGGCGGGCTGAGTAAACACAAACCCCCGCAGCGGTCAGCTGACAGCCAACCTCAGGCAGTTCTTGCCAAGTCAGCCAAGTGAGTGGGATCGTGGAAACTTCCAGAGATATTTTACAGGTTGAGGCTTTGAGCTGCGGCAGCACTGATTTAAAAGAAGAAGAAGAAAAAAAAAAAGAGACTACAAACCATTAAAGCAATGTGAAAATTAAGAAACAGATTTGTCACCGTGAATCATCAAATTCTTCAATTGGCTGTTATGAGTTTGCCATCAGCAGTGCCTGAAAAGAAAATCGGCGCATTTAAAGCACAAACGATGGATGCTTGATTTGAGGAAAACCAGTGTGAGGAGGAGACATGCTGCATGATTTATCTCACAGGGACCACGAGAACACAAGCGTCTACCGGAGCATCATTTTCCTTGCAGCAGCTCCCTCATGTGGGAGATAAACTCTCACTACAAGATGCAACAGGCAACGAACCTTTTCTATTTGTTTTGAAGTGACATCGAAATTGTTCGGCATTTGCTCTAAAAGTAAAAGTTTAAATGCCTAAACCAAGTAGTAGCTGTTAAGTCAAGATCGTCAAGGTCGTTTTGAGGCGAGCTCAGGGAGGACAGRAACCTCCTGTGGAGCAGAAGGCCAAAAGCTTGCTTGATCTTGATACATGTATGAATACAAACCGTGAAAGCGGGGCCTTACGATCCTTCTGACTTTTTGGGTTTTAAGCA